CGCGCGGACACTCCCCCCCCTCCCCCCACCAAAAGTTTCCAATCCCCGCGATCGGAAATTCGGTGTCTGCTCAGTCGTCATCGTCGTCGATGGTCTAGCAGAGCGCGGTGGCGGCCGATATGCGAGGTCGGGGCAAACCGAATGTTCCGGAGGTGGTGGCGCACGATACTGGCTCGAGGCGATATAGCTTTTCTCTACTTTAGTCGCGAGCCTTTCCAACGCGTCAAAATCGATAGTCATCTCGGTGGACCGCGATCTGCAAGCGCGGCATGTTTCGGTGCGCGTAATTTAATTGTTCGACCTTACTCTAAGATGGACTGAGTCGGTCGAACAATCTTAGCATACACGTTAAATAATCAGCTATCGGTTCGTGCTCGCCCTGCGTCCGACGCAGGATTTCGTCGTGCAGCGCGAACTGGAAATCGGGATCTCCGAACGCAACGCGGCCCTGAACTCACGCCACGTTGTCCACCGAGATCTCTTAGTGCGGTACCATTGTAGCGCTTTTCCAGACAGAAAAAACAGGAGGCACTTAAATAATCCTCGTCATGAATTGGTACCAATTCACGCCCCTCCTCTATTCTTTTGAGGAATGTTTCCACGTCGCTGTCGCGCGCACTCGAAAAACTAAGATTCCAGCGACGCATAGTATTGTACGCGTCGCCGGCCGATAAAAATCGCTCGCTCTTACGGAATTTGGGCCCACTCGGTGGTGGACAAAACGCGGCCGACGGTACAAACGCGGGTGGTATTTCACGAGGTGGCCACGACATTTGCGGAGGAATCGGGGTTCGCGTCGGCGGCGGAACTATGACAGGCGACGGCAGGCGAGGAGATGGTTTTAAAAGCGTTTCCGCTTTCAACGGTAGTGACCCCTCTGTTTGGGGTCCGGTAAATTTTGGTCTAGTCCCACTAGATCCCGTAATTCCTGACCCGTCACCTTACTCGTCCCGCCTGAACCCGGCCGCTTGAACTCCGTCTTCCAGGAGTTGGAAGTCCGGTCCTATCGCATCCTCCGCCGGCGAAGGTAGAGGAGGCTCGCGACGCCCTGCGCGCTCGTAGCGCGTTATGCAACTTTGCAACGCGGTTACCGTACCCACATCACTGAGCTTCCGCTGCACGGCCTGCTCGCGCAGCTGTTCCAGGGACAGCTCGAAAATCCAGGCGTCCGGCCCATTTAGCTCCGACATGACGTGTTAGCTCGGGAACTTCGAAACTTCGGAACTCGACGCACCGCACGTGTGTAATTAACCAACTCAGGCTTCCAGACGAACACACGGTCTTTGTCGGTACGACCCGCGGGAGCTCATACAAAGAGAAGAGAAAAAAAAATTTTCTCACACGAAATCGCCTGATATCCCTTCGCTATCCCTACGTCAACCAGCCGTTTCGCCACCACACACGCGGGAAGTCGGTATTCGCGGACACCCCGTACCTCGCGGCGATGCCGAACCGTCATAAGAAAGAGCGCAAAAACGCACGCAGCCCGCCTGTCACAACACTCGCGATATACACTCGCGCAAAGCGACACAGTCCGCGTAATCCGCACCTATCACTTGCGGTCTTTAAATCTCAGAAGCACACTGCTGAAATTGGGGTCTCCAAAAGAACAATTTAATTAATTGTACAAACAACAACAAAAAATGTCAATCGTAACGAAGGCGCTATAATACCTCCTCTACAAGGAGAGAGAGTCAGAAAAAAAAATCAAGCTCTATAGACACAATCCGATTCCAATATCTCACGTAATACAAAAAAATAGTCTTTAAACGGTACGATAGGCCTTGATAGCTTTGGCAATCGTTTTCACCAACCAAAAAAATTCGATTGTCACAACCAAAGTCACACACTAGATAGCACAGATAATCGAGAAAGGATAACAGAAGAGAAAAAAATTTCTCCTAGGTCGTATAGACAATCTACACTAAACTGTTACCAACGGGCAAGAGAAACGTCACCAAAATACTGAAAGACGAAAATACGGACGACCAGACAAAAGTAGCCGTGAGAAGCAAGTCAAAAAAAAAACAGCAAGACCGATTCTGCCTCCGTCGATGTCTTTGTTCGGCAATTTGAAAATCTCGTGATAACGGACAGCGATATCTTTCCGGTCGAGATGTTTCAAAAACGGCCCTACGTTAGGCGCCAAAAATTTGCGACGTTATTTTCTTTCCGACCAAGACAGATGATCGTCTATCCGCCGCGTCTGTAAATTTCCGCGAGTTCTCGTCACTGTTTACGAATCCAAACGATACTAGTTGTTGGACGCCAGATATGGTAAAGGCCGTACCTCCTCACTAAAACACTCGTGACAGTATGTCTGCACCACGTCTCTGGGGCCTCGACGACTCGGTTTGCGCGGATGAGGTTGCGTGCATCCTGTCGGAGTCTGGGGGCTGTAGGCTACCCGAGATTAAAACTGGACCTATAAGGAGGATGGCCAATGGCCTTGGGTCTGTCTGGGCTCAGTGTCCACTTGCGGCAGCGATTAAGATAGCTTCATCTGAGAAGTTGCGCATTGGCTGGTCAATTGCGAGGGTGGAACTCTTATGGGCACGCCCCCGTCAATGTTTTAAGTGTTGAAGATTTGGACATATGCAACATGCCTGTAAGTCTGAAGTGGATAGGACTGGCGCTTGTTTCCGTTGTGGTGGTGCCGGACATGCCGCACGGGATTGCTCAGCAAATCCACACTGTGTGGTGTGTGCTTCCGATGGCAGACCTGCTGATCATTGCATGACCTCTTTTGGATGTGGTGCAATGGTGGCAAAAACGTAGTGACTGTACCGGTGCGGAGGACTGATGTTGATGCTGAACCTGGTGCTTAAGGTTATTCAGGTCAACGTAAACCGGAGTTGGCCTTCGTTCGACCTTATAGTCCAACATATGTATGAACAGGCCTTTGTGATCGGAATTGTGTCTGAGCCGCCTAGACGACGCTTGAATATACCTGACTGGTTCGTCAGCAGTAGCGGGCTGGCGGCAATCCTTTTTAGAAGTCCGGGGGTACCTTTGGGCTGTGCCTTAGTCAGGCGAGGACGTGACGTAGTGGCTGTTAGAGTTGGCGATCTAGTGACTGTGTCGTGTTACGTCTCTCCTAATACTACGAGGATCCGATACCTTGAGTTTCTCGATGAACTCGGGGACATAATTGGTGAGGTTGGTGACAGAAGAGTTCTGATTGGAGGGGACTTTAACGCGCGCTCGGCATCCTGGGACCCGGCTGCAACCAACTGGAGGGGGATCCTTGTCGAGGAATGGGCGGCGGAAAAAGACCTTCGTCTTGCCAATATTGGAATGGTGCCTACCTGTGTTAACCCTCGTGGTTCATCAGTTGTGGACCTTACCTGGTCTACTGCTGATCTTTTGGGTCGAGTGGCAGATTGGGTGGTCGACGTGGATGCGGAGTCACTATCCGATCATCGTATTATCACCTACGCCGTGGTAGATGTGAGGCCTGGACCGCCTGAAGACCATGAGGTGTACGTTGCTGATCCCCGTCCGCGCTGGAATTATGCCAGAATGGATATGAGAGCGCTGATTATGGCTTTGGAATGGGATGGTGCTGCGGGTCCTGTTGTCGGCGGGAACACGTCGGCTGAGTCCTTGGCTACCTGGTGTCCTGAAGAGGGCGTGCGACTTTGCGGCTCCTCGGGCTGGGAGACCCATGCGGAAGAACAGCGCCTACTGGTGGTCGCCCGATATAGCCGAGCTTTGTGAGAGATGTGTGTGGTCTAAAAGGCTGCTCACACGTTTTAACAGCAGGCAACGCTTGCGTGCACGTCGGGTTGGTGTTGTGGATGGCGATGACGATTCGGAGACCAGGCGTCTGGAATTGTGTGGCGAATATCGCGCTGCCCGTGATAATCTGCGGCGCGCCATATCCAGGGCTAAGGCGGCGGCATGGACGGAACTCATTAGAGCTGTCGAAGTGGACCCTTGGGGGAGACCGTATCGCCTGGTCTTAAATCGTTTGAGGCGTTCATATCCGAGAATCTCGGAGAGTTTGCCTGCTGACTCGCTGCGGGCCCTCATAAACTCTCTCTTCCCTGCTGGTGACGGGAGAGTGATCGATCCCTGTACGGGAGTCACATGGAACGAGGAGGAGGACGTTGTGCAGACCGCGGAAACCTATTCCGCCATCCGCCATAAGAGAAGCACGTCGAACAAGACACCGGGCTTGGACGGTATCCGCTCAGTCGTATGGAGAAATGCTCCGAGAGAATTGGTAGAGAGGCTGACCTCATGCTACACCGCATGCTTGCGGGAAGGAGTCTTCCCAGCTGCTTGGAAATGTGCTGGTCTTGTCTTGATTCCAAAGCCTGGATTCTCTGATGGACCGCTCCCGAAGGTTAAACCCATATGTCTTCTGGGTGAAACTGGGAAGATTCTGGAGCGCATTATTGTGGCCAGGATGCGTACTTGGATGACGGAGCACCCGAGGGCTGAGTTATCGGATAGGCAGTTTGGGTTTCGGGAAGGCCGCTCGACCTGCGACGCTCTCTTGCGTGTGCGGCGCATTACTACCGATACTGTCGCGAGGGGTGGCGTCGCCATTGCTGTGAGTCTGGATGTGGCGAATGCATTCAACTCACTTCCCTTCGCGAGTATTATGAACTCCGTGCGAGCTAAAGGTTTTCCTGGTTATATAATTGGCAGGATAATTGGTGAATATCTGAGGGATCGGTTTGTGGAATATCCTGTAGCAGGGGGTGGCATTAAACGCCGCGTTGTCTCAGCGGGGGTTCCTCAGGGCTCGGTCTTGGGTCCCTTGCTCTGGAACCTGGCGTACGACGAAGTGCTCAGAGTTAGAACCTTTGAGAGATGTGATATAATCGGATACTTTGGTAGTCGCAATGGCTAACACGGTGGGAGAAGCTGTAGTTAGAGCCAACTTGCAAACAGCGGCTGTGGTAAGGAGAATTGAGCAGCTGGGCCTTGTGGTGGCTGCTGAGAAGACGGACGCTGTTTTATTTCACGGCCGCAGGAGACATGAACATATGCCGGAGATTAGAGTCGGACACACGTACATACGGGTTGGCAGAGCCATAAGATATCTCGGCATCATCCTCGACAGTAGATGGAAGTTCCACGACCACTTCCGATTCGTGGGCGATAAAGCGATGAGGATAGCTCAAGCCTTGGGACGGCTTATGCCCAACCTCCGTGGACCTAGTGAGGGGAAGAGGAGGCTGTACGCGACTGCTGTCTTGTCGGTCGTCTTGTATGGTGCGCCCGTCTGGCATGATGTTTTGGCGGTGAATATCTCATTGGCCCGTAGGGGTCAGGCGCCTATTCTAAGGGTGCAACGTTTCGTTGCTATCCGCGTAATAGCAGGTTACAGATCCGTATCGTTGGAGGCTGCTGCCTTGCTGGCGCTCATCCCTCCGCTCTACCTGCTGGCGGCCTTCTACAGCAGGACGTATGAGCGAATTAGGGAACTCAAGATGTATGGCATATGGACGCCCGTGGATGAGCAAGAAATAAGGACGGGTGAAAGGCTCCTCCTGTATAGACAATGGGAGGTTCATCTTCGACAGAGGAGACTGTCAGGTACGCGGGTTCGTGAGGCCGTCAGTCCGAACTTCTGGGAGTGGATCGAGCGGCATCGAAATAGGGGTCTGAGTTCCACGTGACTCAGCTTCTGACCGGACATGGTTGCTTTCGAGACTATCTCGTATAGGGAAAGATGTGACCAACGTGTGTGCGCATTGTGGTGTCGGTGTAGACAGTGCTCAACACACTCTAGAGGATTGCTGCGCATGGTCTCGGAAGAGACTGACTCTGCGTGGAATTATCGGGCAGGACTTATCTCCCCCCGCCTTGGTGCGAGCGATGCTTTCCTCCGGAAACAGTTGGAAAGCCGTTCTTAGGTTCGCGGGTGATGTTATGGGCAGGAAGGAGGACGCGGAGAGGGAGAGGCAAAATAACCCTCGGGTTAGAAGAGCCCTCCCTCCTGCATCGCCGCGCAGAGATGACTCTCCTTCCAACTGACAGTGTCTCTGTGTATGGAGGAGGAGAGAGTGATGCCCGACTAACTTGGTTGGGAGTAGTGGTGCGCGCGTGTGGTGCCGTGTGTCGCCGTGTGCTGCCGTATAGGTCGGCATGCGATACGCGGCCAGCGTGCACTGCAATACTAGCTGTGGGAGGAGTTTTGCCACTCCTACTGGGGGATAGTCGCCGAAGAATGTCTTTGTCTGGGCTGGGTTTCTCAATTCGGAAGCGACTCTTGGGTAAGGGGCAGCAGGGAGACCTAGTGTAACTCCCTTCTGCAAATTAGTTAGGTTTGGCGCGGTCAGCGCCTGCTGGGGATCATCTGGAAAGTTATGCGCAAGCGGTTCTCCAGATGACCCTGGGTGGCAGCTAAGGTAGGGCACTCGAGGAGGTTTTAGCTGAGTCCGGCATAGCCTTGGTCTTATCCCAGTAAGGTCCGGGTATGCATAATGCATTTCCTCCCCGTCAAAAAAAAAAAAAAAAAA